GTATAATATGGATCAGTGCTTATTTTCGTAACCTTTAAAACTTTGCTCCTCATATTTCCTACTCTTCCAACATTGCACCAACCTGATATGCGCATTCAGCTTGCAGATGACTAGCACATTGGAGGTAAAGATGATGATCGAAGGCACTACCATACATACAATTGTCTGGAATAAAGATTTTCAAAATTGTCTATTGTTGAGAAGACGATAGGGGACAATGTCCTAATTGAAATCTCTAATCTTGTTTCTGGTTCATGCAGCATTGCCCAGAATCCCTTTATTTGAATATGAAGTACTAAGACTTTCTGTAGCTTTTAGCAGATGTTACTATTATTAGACATTGTTATCAGAGTCAATTCAAAATACGGTGGTCTGTTCTAGAATTATCTGACTATTTGTAATAGATTCCACATCACAACTAAAGAAAGAATCCCTTATCTAAACTAATCAGTACTACGTACCATTTCAAGATTGTAATCTTCCAGCGCTAGTGCGTCAGCGAGTTATTAATAACCTTAAAAATCATCCTAACGTAGATTTAGAATTACGCTATTGAGACCAAATATAGCGTGAGTTATCTGCATAATCTTCAGTGTTACTTAACCGAAGCAGAATGCTTTTATCATCATTGCAATAAATCATCGCTTATTACAGCCTTCAGTCAGACTAAATTGTCAGATGTTATGGTTAGATTATCTTTGTATCTTTCTCTGTCGTACGTTATCTAAAAGTAAATAACAGGATTCTAAAAGAGTTATACGCAATTTTGAAGTAGAAATTACCTCTAAGACAGTCATAATGTGATATATCCTATCGAACTTCGGGTCAATGTCACATATTCCCTCTTGGATCGAAGCCACGTATAGGATCCACGAGTTGAAAAGCATAGCGACAACAATTAGCGCTACCACCTGTGCACATGCCCTGAAATCCAATTTACCTAAGAGTGCTTCAAAGCCAGTGGCAACCTACTTCTCCGTGGTTAAACTTCGAGTTTTTCTGTGGAGAAGGATTAGCCGTTCGCATCCGAGAAGAACGATGAGCCATACGCTTGAGAAGTCGCAAACATGAGCG